TTGCATAGAACATTCATGAGTGTATTCACAAAGGTAGAAGGGTACAAAGTTCAAAGCTGCAATGCTGCGCCTTCTGTAGACCTTTAGCATCGACAATACTTCATCAGATACCTTTCTTCATAACCTCCTGCCTAGCACCTTTCTGTAGAATATGCTCTATGATAGCAGAACTCAGTGTCAATTTTTAGCTCTGGATCAATGGAGCAATCAGTTTCTTCAGATTTACCCCAAGTAAAATATTGACTTCCCTGGCACTTTAGCATCAGCAACAAGTTGCAGCTCCTGGAAGACTATGTTGGGAACTTCTAGAGATACTTGACAGCCACTGAGTTACATGGGTTTCTCAAATACCAGCAGCATTGTCTGGTACAAGATTCCATGTGCCTTGACATTGCTCCAAATACAGGCATGGAATAGTAAACAGAACAGCAACAGTTCCACGAACCTAGCTTGTTCCTCGGGTAATGCTTCCTGAACCAAAGAGAACACCATTAAATGAGACATGACCAGTCAGGCAATCATGAAATTACCTTAGGTCCTGTACCAAGGCCAAGTTGTCCAATAATCTAGTGCTACTGAGATGGAGATCAAGTGCAATAAGCTTCTTGAGTGCACTCTCTGACTTACCACCCTCTAGAAGTGCATTTCTTGTTTTGAGGGATCATGCTCCTTTGACTCCACCCTTTACCTTACAAAGTAGGAGTAAATCAGAGAGAAAACTGGTCATGCAACCACACTTCTGGAAATTGCTTCCAAGAAATATCTTAACCAATAATCTCTTGGAGAAAGGCTAAACTTCCTTAGGAACCCAGCATTGGCACTCAGAAAGGAGAATCTTAATCCCCAGCCTATGGATGGTAGTGGCCTTTTGGAAGGTGTCTGATCTCTATCATCCTGATCATCTTTCATTTTGATATCCCCATCAAACCCCACCCACCCATCCACATTTAGATCCATCAACAAAAACATCTCTCTAGGCCATTGTTGCTTGTGGTATCCCAGAAGGGTTTTAGAACAACATGAGCTGGTAACTAATCATTAGCATTACTCATTAAGAACATATTGGAATTCACTCTAGAGTTGGGTGATTCTCTGTCCTCATTCATATGGTACTCCCAGGTGAAGATGCTCTGGACAGAAAGTGGTCTTCATTCACAGGGTGCCTTTCTTCTAAACACTTGTCTTTGTTAAATTAATTGCATTGTGTTCAAGCTCAGCAACCACTTAAGTTAATAGATGGTATCCTTCACATTAACTCTGGAGACTGAGACATAAAGTGGCAAACCGAGTAGCACCTGGGGATAGAATCATGCCTCCAGGCTCTTGGGTCTGACTCTCTTTGCAACATCTCCAGCTTTGGTAGATGCCCCTAACCTCTAGTCCCTTTTTATAAGCACTTAAAAACTAACACATACATCCTCTTAAACACCACTACAGAATTCCCAGCCACAAACTCATCTCTCCTCTCCAGCTAGGCACCACTGATATTTAGAAGACTCTTGTAGCTCAACAATTAAGATTTATTGCATTTTACTTTTTATAGTTTATAATATAAAAAAAACAAGTATTTTATTTTCTAAATAGGAGGCCATATTAAAATCCTGGACAGAACACTAGTAAACCCATAGTGATTTCCATTATTCCCCACCACCCTACTGAGAAATATTTCAGTGAACTGGAAGGCTCTGTATTGGCCCATTTGTATAATTTTGATGAGAAAAACATTTAAACTAATTGTGTTAAACTAAAAAGGAAACGCATTAATGTATCAATGCTATTTAGATGAACTTGTCTTTTTCACACAAAAAAAAAGAAACAGGAAAAAAGAATTGTCAAGGATTTGCTCCTCCCAAAATCTGAAGGGATGCTTCTGATGCCTCTTCCTCCCTAGCTTCAGTGCTGAGTGGTTTGGGTCAATTTACTCTTGCCTCTCCTTCTGGGAGAGTTATTTCATTTTAGTTTTGTCTGGGTTCCTGAAGCATATTGCTTTGACAAATAGAGCAATCTGAACTGCTTATTCTTTGGCTTTAGAGTATTGTTGGGATGTCAGTGTTTTGACTGTTACAGCCAGCTGGCATGAGTCATCAGTAGAGATCCCAGGTGGAGAGACAAGGGCCTCATCCTCTTGGTACACATTTTGAATTCTTCAATGTGTTTCATGGCATATTCTAAATCCTGTGAAGGTCTCATGACATAAAATTTAACATGCTCATACCTGCCTAAAAACTTCCCAATACAGCTGACATATGAAAAAAGACTGAAATTAGAACTTGGTTGTAGTATAAACCTTCTCAATCCCAGCTTTATCAAAGTGTTAGACCTCCTAAGTACATGCCCCCATTACGATTTATAATATGTACAAGCATAGCTAGTATTTGCACTGATGAAGGGGGTAACTACATCCTTAAATACAAATTGGAATTTTTTTTCACAAAAAGTGTTCATTTTTTTATTCATCAGTGCGCACTCACTCTGTGGAGCCACCAATGTATCTAGGATTAAATGTTTATGTTACAATGCTAACATTTTATTTATTTTTAATTATTTAAAACTAAACACTCTGATAACATTTTTATGATTAATTACTTTTAGATAGATCTGTTCACCAAAATTTCATAATATGTAGTCTACATATTAAACACTCACAATAGAATCAAAATTAAAATTTAAGAACCTCTTTTATTTGACCTTTGGAATCAGACAGTAGTCTCAATGAAAGGGCAGATTAGGTTACATAAATTAAAGGACACCAAATGATTTTAAACTTCTATGCATATTACATAAGGGATAGGATGTACATAAATTACTAATGCACAGAACTAATACATATACATGAACCAATAATTGTGGCTACTTCACTCAAACTTTCCTAAGATTAATGGCATGACTAGAACTCTCTACACATCTCATGGCAGATGACAGTAAATCTCATTGGTCTCCTTGAATTTGTTTGTCACCATAAAATATAGTTATTATAATGGAAGAAGAGTGGGTGGTGCTAACATCTAGTGAATCTAATCTATTTTGATGGTTTGAATGGTTATCTTTAGTATTATTATTAATAATATTATTAATATTATTATTAAACTATAGATATTTCAATAACCAACTACAGAGGTCAATAATTTCAGTCTCATGATATTCATAAACCTATACCATGAGACCAGAATAAATTTTCAAATCGGTTTCTGAGGAAAATTGTTTAATTATTTGTTTTCCTAAAGGGAGGTAAAACATAGGCAGAAATGCAGCATGGTATATTTTTATGAATTTGACAGCAATTTGCTAGGCTGGTTATCTACAGGAACTGCAGGATAGCTCAGGACATGCGAAAGTTACACAGTGTTACAGAACTAAACACTCACTTAAAGACTGTATTCAGTCTTAAAAATTGAGTTTCAAGTGCTTAGCACTCATAGATTTCTATCATCATGACCTTAATGCAAATTAAATTTAAAATATTACCATAATCTCTTTTTTGCAACTTGGAGAGTTCTCTTCATTTTCTCCAATCCGTCATGCACCAGGGTATTCAGAAGGCTTACACTTGACATGTTCCCGGAGCCAGGCTACCTAATTTGGCCCACCCTATTCACATGGGTCTTAGAGAGGAGAATCTGCCAGCCCACAAATGTCCTTTTTACAGAAAACCTCTATTGACTTCTACCCAGCAACCGTCTATATAAACAACCCCTTCTATTGATCTTGTAAGTTATGGTAATGCTACACTAGCATTTATTTCACTGGATACATATTTAAACAGTAATTTCTTTTAAGCCAGTGATTACCTGGTAATGCTGACTCAATCTGAAAAGTATATTTCTAGGACAGCTTCAGAAAATCTGGTGAGAGTTCCCCTTTGCACAGCAAGCATTTCTCACAGCCTGGGGCTCATGAATGGTTACCTGAGATCTTGAAACAAGGAGATAGACACAAATAACATGGGACAAGTCAGGACTGCATTGATATGAGCTGGTTATCAAGTCAGGATCGAGCAAGTACTGGGAGGACATTATCTAAGATGTTTGAGGTGGGGCTGATCTGGACTAGACAGATTGATAAGGCTTCAAACACACAGTCACTTTAATGTTCTCCAGATTTAGGGTATCCTAAGAAATTTGGAAACAACTGATAATTGATGTCACCAGTTATTTACTCGGGGGACTATTTTGTGGAGATTATCAATCAGGTAATTTAGGAAAATCAGCTTCAGATATCCTTCATTTGTTTTCAAGTGCCAGATTTTGTATGATTTCAGGAAGTATTCCCTCTAAAGTAACAAAGCAGCAGTTAACTCAAAACGGACTGTCTTTCTCTGGAATACATGCTTGTTCTGGGAAGATTTGAAATAGCCAAATGCTTACTTCTTTGAAAACAGTTTTTCTTTAAAGGGCCATGTTCAACTGCACCTTTTCTACATGGATGTATGCTTACAGATCTCATCATCTTCTATATTTAGAGAGATGAGCTTTCCAAAGGAAGATAGGCAGCCAATAAGGAGGATCCCATCAAAAGAGAGGTGAGTTACTATGGTTACTTTTCAGGAGGTTGAGTAGCACTGAACGCTGCTCCTGGCCAAATGGACCCTTTCCAGAGGAGGATCTAAAAAGAATGTTGCTCTCCAAACGTGTTGATTCAATTAGTCCAGACTACACTGTCATTTGAGCCTGAACCATAGGCTTCCTATGGGCGCTTGCTGCTTCCAGTTCTCCTAACTGCATATCGGCCGATAAGTCAAAGAAAAACAAGGAGAATCGAAAACTTCTGAACACTACCTTACAGTGATGAGCAGGGTAATCCTCAAGAACCAATCCCAAGATTAAAAAAAAAAAAAAATCAAATCAGGTCATTTGGGACGAGCAGCTGGCCACTTTTCAATGGCGGGAGGGTGGAGTGGGATCCCGTAACATGTCCCTAGTCTCCCCCTCAGTAATGAATCTTTTCTGAAGGGTGCCTGGCTAGAGGAGTCCTGACATACCTTCCGAGCTGGGTCCACTTACCAGGAGATCGCGCATGCACCTGTTTCGCAAAGACGCGGGGTTCGGAGCTCACTAGTGCTTTTGCGGCGCTGGCACGCTTCAGACCGGCACTGACAGCAACAGCGACAGCAGTGGCGGCGGCGCGACAGCGGCAGCAGCGGCAACTGCAGCTCGGCGGGCAACCCTGGCTCCTGCAGGTCGGTCCCTCCAGTCTGTGAAGCGCCTCTCACTCCGGGTTCCGAACGCAAGGCGGGCGCGTAGCGCTTCTCGGCTCGCATTGGACCAGAGGGAGCAGATGTTATCCGGTTGCTAGGAGCGTTGCTAGGAGGCGATGACGCCCCTCCACAGCTCCGGAGCAACTTTCCTGTAGGTAGGGTGCGCTGGCGGGGGCTGCTGGGAGCAAGGTGGAGAGCAGTAACAAGGAGGGACAGCCCTGAACAGAAGGATCTCGGCTGCGCTCGCCTAAATTGGGTCCAGGACAATGGGAAGGGGAGCAGGAGATGGTGAGAGACAGGAACCTAGGCTGGTGACAAGAGCCTCATGTCCCAGGGAAGGGTCACTAGCTGTAGGCCCTAGATGAGTATCTTATATGGGGAGGTTGTTTTTGCGGACAGTGGGTACTTTCCGAGACTGAAGAAGAGGTAGGATTTTGTAGACCTCAATAGGGGAGAGACTGTGTGTGTGTGTGTGTGTGTGTGTGTGTGTGTGTGTGTGAAAGAAGTGGGGCGGGAGAAAAGGACAGAGAGACGAATGAAGCGATGCAGCGATGCAGGATGAGCAGTAAGGGACTTTTTGCCTCTTGGGACTCTCCTACTCCCCCTCCCCCACACGTGTTCCGATTTGTGTCTCTCCGGATTTGAGCAGTTGGTAGATTTTGAAGAGGGAAATACTAACTAATCCCATGCAAAACAGCGCAAAGTCTAACTCCTTTTGGCTCTTTCTGTGGTTGTGGCATGGTACCAAAGATTTCAGAAGGAAAAAAAAAAGAAGAAGAAGAAGAAGAAATGTTCCTGTGATCGAAAATACTTTCTTCACACAGTTAGAAAGATTTCATTTTGATCCAAGAGCTAAATAAAACCTCCAGCAAATATAAAAACTTCTTTAAAATAAAATGCACAAAACAAAGGTACTTTTCACAAGGAAAATTAGAGAAAGTATGCATATCTCAATCATTTACATTTTAATATAAATTTACTCAAAATTTTGTATTCTCTTGGATATCTCACTCAAGCATTGTTTTTCTATTGCTTCTTGTTTTGTTGCTAAACAGCATTGGGGAGAGTGATGATTAGAACATAAAAAGTGGGAATGGATTGAGAAGTTGTTGCCTTTGAAGCCAGGGGTGGTTGCTGTGCAGTGTTATGCTGATTCTTATCGTGCCAGCATTATGGGGGGCTGAAGAGGATAAGTAAAATGGCCCTCAGCTCTCAGGGGCACCTAGTACCTACTGGATGCCTATGGAAAACCTGGGAGTTGACATTTTGTCAGGCTTAAGGTTTAAAAAGTTGACAACCTAAAACTAAATAATAAGCCAAAGTGGGCTTATTAATACCAACTATCAATTCTCAGCTATCAGGTCAGAAAGGAGGCTTTGAGACCTGCACACCTCCAACCCAGCTAGCATTACCCCACTGCAACTTCCTTCTCACTTGCAATAGAGGATATGAGGAGCTGCTGTCAGTGCTGTCAGCCTTGCCTTCCTGTCCAGTTCATCTGCAGAGACTCCCCCTCGCTCTTCAAGGTCCAGTCATTCCGGATGTTTTTCAGTTTCCTTGAATGGAGAAGGTTCTGGCTTGGCTCAGGTATTTTGGACTTGCTGTCTCTTCTTAAATGTGCCTCCCTTTCACCTGGCTTCCTCCCACTCAGCCTTCAAGTAGCAGCTTAAATACCACTTCCTCATAGCGGCTTCCCCTGACAGCCTCCCACCGACTACATTAGTCCCCTAATTACATTCCCAAATCACACTACCGATCCCATTTCACAATATTCATCACACCACATTTTAAGCTATTTCTACCTGGTTAACAGTGTGTCCCTAGTGTGTAGCACACAGTGTCTGGTACATCAAAGGGAACCAAGAGCACATGGCAATAGATGAATTCATCCTGTCTGGCTTCACATCCCTGTTCTCACCTTAGCTGTGTAGCTGTCATTTAGTGAACTTACACAACTAGGAAGGCAGCCACTGGTGACTGTCTTTGTTGTTCAAGTTGAATGGGGGAGGGGGGAAAGACTATTCTACAGAAATGCGTTTTCTGGCCTTCATGAGACATTGTATTTATACAAAAATTTCTTTTCATTCTCAAAGCATCTTATAAAAGTCACTACCTGGGTTTTAATGGCATTGGTGAATACTCAATTCAAAGTCACTTAAATATTTTTCTAATACTCTTTTCTCCATGCCTTCCAAGTATGAGTCCTCTTAGCTAATCTGTTATCTTTCCTTAAAAAGCAGCCTTCATAATCACATGCTGTGTTTCCAAAAAGCAAAAACAAACAAACAAACAAATCCATTCTGGGAGCAGTTAGCAAACTTGACTGACAAGTGCAGGTCTTCTCATATTGTGCTTTATCAGAATAAACCAGAAAACCTTTGCTGTTGTTAATCAAAGTGGCTGAATAATTTCCAAGCCCCCTTTTCTTCTGGGACTACCTCAAAAAATTGAATAGATGTTGGAAGAAATGAAGGAAAGGTCAAGGTAATATCAAGTTCACAGAATGGCTTGGTTGCAAAACTGGAAATAGAACAATGTTTATTGAACCATGGATGTCTGGAGATATAATTTTATAAGTTCTTCAATTCTACTAAGTGAGAATTTTTACTTTTCTTTAATTAGACAATTTTGGATTTTAAACCAAAAATTAAAATGCCATACAATTTGCCTTAAAATTTATTCAATTTTAATTTTCTCACTATTGAATCTGTCCTTCCTCAAAATGACCACAAATACTTATCCTGTCTCTTGCTCCTTATCTCTCTGCTGAAAAGAATGAGATGTTTTATTATGTTGTAGAATATACTTCAAAGTTCATCAGAGCTTTGAAACACCACCCCAGTTTTCTCTTGAGCCATATTTCTGAATTTCTGGAAAAATATATAATGTGATTTGGTTCATCAATAACATGCTACTCAACATGTTTATAATTTTTTTAGCTGCTATAATATAGGACAAAAAAATCGAAAGAATAAAAGAACCAAAGTCAGACATGGCTATCTCAATTAATCATTTAAGCCTGGGTAAGTCTCAAAGCAATATCAGAAGACAGCATTGGGAAATACTCAACCTACAGTCATTTATAATATATGTCAAGTTTTAGGCTTTCCAGATCATGTGCTGTAAGATTAATATATGGAAAAATCTGTTCCCTCTGCATTGTTTCATATTATTTGCTTTGGTGTGTTTGTCACATATGTATGCATCAGTGCTCATACACATGTATAAATGTTCTACATGTAGAAATGTTCAACCCTCCTCAGCATACAAAACTCTTTGCCCTGTGGCTTTGGAAATATGAACTCAAATAATCTTATTTGCAAACATGTCCCCTTGGTGTTGAAGTGCTCTAAATCCAACACAACTATGGGTGAACAACTATAATGTTCTAGTACTACAACAGATTAAGAACTTCAGCAACAAATGGGCTGGCCATTAGCAAGCTTTCTGTAAACAATTGTACTACCACAACATTGGAAATAAGAAATTGTTTTTTAAAAAAGAGGAAGATGTAGGTGTACTAGACACAGACTAGAGGATTCTAACCAACACTATTTCATTTTCCTGGGCACAAAAACTACAGTTCCAACCTTCTTAACTATAGGAAAAGCCATGTGACTAAATCTGGCCAATAGTGTTTGGGCAGGAGTGAGGATCCCCATTCTAATTCTGGCCTTGAAAGCAAATTATTTCATTCTCATATTTTTCCTGCCCCCAGTTTGCATGGTGATATATGCCGCCCATAAATATCTGAGATTTCCAAGTCACAAAGGAGACTCCATCTCTAAGATGTTGCCACAGAGAAAGGTGCATGGGTAAAACCAACCCAGATAATAGAGTAAGAAACCTTTTCATGCTAATGCACTGATATTTAGGGTTGTTTATTACAACAGCAGTATTACTTACCTCAACTAGCACAGCATGTAAAAATGGTGATAGACGAAACATCCATAGATGGATTCTTATTGGTTTGGGGGGTATCAGCCATGCTTTTATTGCTATAGAGGTATGTGATTATAACAGCCTGACTCCCTCCAGTTTGAGCTTGCTGCATATAAGCCTGGTAGACTTATCAGGACTGAATAAACATGGAGATGAAAGAGCTATAGAGGAGGGCCCCTCTGATGAAAAATTACCTGTGTTTTGTACATTAACACCTACATTTTGCTTCCTCATAATCCTCTTCCAGAACAATTTAGTTACTCAGGTATCTTTCTATTTATATAGCTCCTTACTTAACTGTTATTTTAAATGCAATACTTTAAACAAGTATTTGAGACAATATATGTTTTGTATAAAACCAACTATAACAGCCTATAGAACCCTGAACCTAAATAAGTTATATGGATCATGAATGCAATGCTTATAGTTCTAATATACATATCTGCAGTTGGTATAGTTTTGAAGCTAATGGTTTTGAATATACTAAAATAAGTAATATCGTTCAGACTCATAAAATTTGCATGTTGATGCTGCAAAACTGTATCTTTTTTAACATAAAAATTTCACACATGTACATATAAGCCATCTGCTAAAACTTTATTGATAAAACCAGTAGCAGCAGTTTTACAAAATTGGAATGATTTTCAGTTTTGAACTATCATGAATTCAGTTGCAGCAGACATTTTGTACAAACTGGGGCTAATGCTTCTTCTATGTTCTGTTTTAAACAAAAAGCAATTAGAATTTATCCTCATGCATTTAAATATATAATACAGAAATAGTTTTTAGGCAGCATAAAATATGCTTTTCAACATCACTCTGAGACTGAACATCTGCCTTAAGCATTATTTGTACAAGAAAAACAGTATAATTCTTCTCATCATGAACTTATTCTTTATCACAGGTAAACAATGTTATATTTTCTAACATTTTCAAAGGGTGTTTCTAACACAAGAGTTAAATATTTCACTGATTTGCCTAGCTGAAACAAGACAGAACAGTGGAACAGTAATACATTACAACCATTGTTATGAAATCCTGAACATTACAAAAGGTAAAAAGGTGTTCTAAAGTTTAACAATTAAAAAAATGTCCCAGCCTTTTCCTTTACACTAACTAATCATTGATAGAAGTAAACTTAGAAGTGGAAGGGGTCATTACATTCTATAGCTGCCCCTTCTGGAAACAGCCAGAGATACATTCATGCTTCTTCAATGAGACACACCAAAGTCAATGAAGTCACGCTAGGAGAAACACAAGGACACCTGTGTGGAATGTTCTGAAGAATTTCAGAAGTTTCTAAAATGAAGATCCAACACTTCAGGGGAGTGCCCTCTCTCTTGAACAATTGGACTACCTAGGGACTTTCTGCTGGAAAACTTTAGAGAAGGAAATATAATAGTGGCCAGTTCGGAAAATGCCTATGAAACACAGGCAGAGGTTTAGGGTGACCCCTCCACTACAACAGTATATAGCCTTGGACTATCAGTTTGTGGAGGGGTTCTTTTAGTGATCTGGAAATCTAGAGGAAGACCTGATATCACGTTAAACCATGTTATAGTAAATTCTCCCCAAAAGTGAAACATATAAAACTATTGATCATTATTGACAACCACCAAAAACTCAGGACAGCACAGTACATACAGGGAATGTACTTAAAAAGTAAACATGATATACACGATATACAAAAAGCACAGGTTCACAACCTCAATACATCTGCAACATCCAGCTGTGAGCAGAATAGTAACATAAAGCCCATTCCCTGCTAAGAACACTGTGTTCCACATAACGGTAAAATCTCCTGAAAATCTCCTAAAATAGTTACATATGTTCAAAATGAATGAATCATTCACATTTACATTTTTTCATGCAAGTTCTTCAAGGACACCCATCAAAAGTTGAGATATAAAGAAAAACCAAAAAATATTTTAAAACAACAGAGCTGCACACAGTATGCATATGGTGAAACATAAATGTGTGAATGTGAACAACTGTTTCCAATGCCATCTGAAGACGAAGAAAAAAATTGAGAATCAGATTTATCTTGCACTATGAATACAAATAAAATATCGCTATGAAATCTTGGATGTACCTTTAAAATGATGTTTTAAAATTTTACTATTTTTCTAGGAGAAAATAAAAGGATATTTAAGAAAAAAATGATTGTGGGTAAGGAAAGTCACTTGGGAAGTAAGAGATAAGCCTGAGTCTTCAAAAGAAAATGATAACAGACATTTAATGACCTTTTTCTTGTGTGTGTGTGTGTGTGTGTGTGTGTGTGTAAGAACTTTTCTGTGTACTGTATTCAAATCCCATGGTGGGGTAGAAAAAAAAAGTCATTCAATTTTGATACTTTCCCTGTAATTGAAGTTAAATTGTTCTAAAGAAAGATCTGCATTCAACGCAAAGATTGGCAAACCACCTGAAAAGATTTGCAATTTGTTGTGTGGTCAGTTTTGAACAACAAAAATAGAACCTAATACTTTATTTTTATTTTCTCAGAGGCAGAATGACTAAAGATCATTCCAACTGTAACTTGCAGTCAGACAAATTACTGGCAGAGATCTAAAAGTGTCAATTACTTTGATATAGCAACATAAAAAGTGGATCTGACCTTAATATAAAAATAAAATAGCTTGCAGTCTCCAAAAACCTTGTAAGTCTTCAAAAACTCTGCAAAGTGTTTTTTCTATCAGCACCTGGTCATATATATAACCAGGTTTATTTATTTATTAACAAATCCAGGTTCCACAAGATCCTGCAGCTACAAAGCAAAGGGCAGTTGATGCATAGAGGGAAAAAAAAATCTCAAAACATTCATCAGATATTGATCACCAATCAGGCCTCCTCGTTCACCCAGTGTGATTATCAGTGCTATCATTCCAATACCCAATTACGTGTCCATTCAGCCTCTGCATTACCATGGGTCATCCTTCCATTAAAAAAATCAGAGCTGCTGTGTGATTTGGATGCTTACAAATAACTCTTAATTTGTGCAATTGACTATGACAGGGCATTATTGCAAAACTTCCTTTCTGTTGGCAGAAGTGATAAAGGTAAAGTCATATAAACTAGTAACAGAAGATGGTTTTCTTTCCTTAGTAATAACAATTAGCATTTTTGTCACCATATGTTTAAATTATTGCTTAACAAAGGAAAACACTATAGAGTTGCTAAATTTGGGTGCAGATCTGCATAAACTTCAGAAATTTCTGTTTAGATTCCAAAAGAGAGAAAAGAAAAATATTGGTTAACATAAATTAGAAAATGTGATATTCTTCATAAATCTTCATTCCAAATGTAAAACAAACCCCATATTACCTAGGTGAAATTGATTTCAGATTGGGTTGCTACATTTTATTTGATAGATCATATGAAGAAATCCATTTACTTTCCTAAGAACATTAAAATCTGTCCTACCAATTGGAACTAGAAATAAAAGTAAAAGGTCATAAACTGTGATACATTAAGACAATGGAATATTTTTAAGAAATGTACTATCAAGGCATAAAAAAGCATGAAAACTTAAATGCGTGTTAGTAAGTTAAAGGAGCAAGTCTGAAAATTCTACATGTCATTTGGTTCCAACTATATAACATTCTGGAGAAGGTAAAACTATGGAGAGAGGAAAAAGATAAATGGTTGCCAGACTTAGTGCGGAGGGAGGAATGAAGTGACAGAGCTTAGAGGATTTTTAGGGCAGTGAAAATATTCTACATGATATACAACAAGAAGTACATATCATTATATATTCTTCAAAACCCACAGAATATGCAATACCCTAATGAACCTTAAGGTAAATTATTCATTTCAAATAATTATGTATCAACATAAGTTCATTCACTATAACAGATGGAACACTGCAGTGGACAGAATAGTTAAAAGTCTGTGTGAATGGGGATCAGGGTAAATGGGAACTCTGTACTTTCTGCTTAATTTTGCTGTGACCCTAAAATTGAACTAAAAAATAAAATGCATTGATGTTTTATAAAAAAAAATAAAAAGATCACAAAACCATCGTGCTTTCATCTAAAAATACAAGTCAAATCTTATTCCAACAAATATAACAAATTTCTGTCACAAGAGTATGCAAATACTAACTCCTTATTCACAAATTAAAAATAATAAAAAATCACAATAAAATTAAATTTAAAACTTCTGGGAAAGACTTTGTATTTCATCATACTAAAATCTAATTTGTGGCTGCATTAGTATGGTGGCATAAAAAAAAGACTGAATTATAATGTGTTAAAGTTGTAGATTAATAGACAATAAGAGAACAAACAACCCAATCAACAAATGGGCCAAGGACCTGAACAGACACTTCTCAGAGGAGGACATACAGTCAATCAACAAGTACATGAAAAAATGCTCACCATCTCTAGCAGTCAGAGAAATGCAAATCAAAACCACCCTAAGATACCATCTCACTCCAGTTAGATTGGCAGCCATTATGAAGTCAAACAACAAGTGCTGGCGAGGATGTGGGGAAAAGGGTACACTTGTACATTGCTGGTGGGACTGCAAATTGGTGCAGCCAATTTGGAAAGCAGTATGGAGATTTCTTGGAAAGCTGGGAATGGAACCACCATTTGACCCAGCTATTCCCCTTCTCGGTCTATTCCCTAAGGACCTAAAAAGAGCATGCTACAGGGACACTGCAACATCGATGTTCATAGCAGCACAATTCACAATAGCAAGACTGTGGAACCAACCTAGATGCCCTTCAATAGATGAATGGATAAAAAAAATGTGGCATTTATACACAATGGAGTATTACTCTGCATTAAAAAATGACAAAATCATAGAATTTACAGGGAAATGGATGGCATTAGAGCAGATTATGCTAAGTGAAGCTAGCCAATCCCTAAAAAACAAATGCCAAATGTCTTCTTTGATATAAGGAGAGTAGCTAAGAACAGAGTAGGGTCGAAGAGCATGAGAAGAAGATTAACATTAAACAGGGATGAGAGGTGGGAGGGAAAGGGAGAGAGAAGGGAAACTGCATGAAAATGGAAGGAGACCCTCAGAGTTATACAAAAGTACATACAAGAGGAAGTGAGGGGAAAGGGAAAAATAATACAAGGGGGACAAATGAATGTCAGTAGAGGGGGCAGAGAGAGAAGAGGGGAGGGGAGGGGAGGGGAGGGGGGATAGTAGAGGATAGGAAAGGCAGCAGAACACAACAGACACTAGTATGGCAATATGTAAATCAATGGATGTGTAACTGATGTGATTCTGCAATCTGTATATGGGGTAAAAATGGGAGCTCATAACCCACTTGAATCAAAGTGTGAAATATGATATATCAAGAACTATGTAATGTTTTGAACAACCAACAATAAAAAAATTTTAAAAAATAAAAAAAGAAAAAAAATAAATAAAAAATTTTTAAAAAAAGTTGTAGATTAATAAGGATTACCATAGTTCACAGGGAAATGTGGCAAAATTAGCAAGATTTGCTCAAGATGCCAGGTACAAGGAACTTGACAGTATTAAGAAAGAAACGTGGCTCTAGAATGTGCATGTGTTATACAGAACAACTTACATGGAAATATCTTTCTCTTAGTGCATATGTTCCTTACCTGATCAAAGTTTTCACTGGAAGCTTTCTGATATCTTTTCTCAAACACACAGATCTTGTTGAAGTAAGTGATATAAACTTTTTATTAGGGTCCATCAACTAGGCAATGATAAAAAACTGTCTACAATCAATGCAAATTTTTAGGCTACCAAAGATTGATTAATTTCTAATCAATCCATTGGGTAAACTATAGTTTATGCCTTCTGTTGTAAAGTTGAAGGCATCGAGAATCAGATTCAGACTGATATAAAAATTGAGATTAGAAAACAATTAAATAGGTTCCTCCTTCTGGTAGGAACATTCCCAAAGTTGAATTTTACCCATTTCATAAGGATGCCCCAAATGTGTCCAGTTTTTTTTTTTAATACTATGACAAGTTTTAATCAAAACCAGAGAGGTACGCAGGAAACAGAGTTCTTTATTCTCATTATCACCCCTTTATCTTGCAGCTATGGCTCATTTAAAAAGTAAAGGGTAGCAGGACCTTTCACTCATAAAACATGACACTTAGAAGAGCTGTCACATTTGCTTGTGCTGGCCTAGCATTCTAGGGTCTCCAAGTGCTTTCCATTCAGTTACAAAAGCCAAAAATACTAACTATGCAACTGCTATTTCATGATGCAATTCATTTCACTGCAAAGTGGAACACCAAGCTCTTCCTATACAAAACATAGCCCTTTATCTTGAAGAGAAGCACATGCTGACAAAAAGAATATCTTTATTTCTTAACCAGAGAGAGCAATAACTTCCACCTTCCCTAAATACTCTCTCAGGAGGGTAAAGACACCATTACAGAAATGCATTCAGCCAAAAATTAAAGGATACTAAAGAGATTTTATGGTTTACCTAGAATCCTTGTCAGAATCTTTTAAGAAAAGAGGAAATATTTAGAAACAAAAATGATCTTTGGATTGAAACTGTTTTACTCACCCACTATTCTCCAGCCACCACCCCAGAATTTGGAACATATTATACTTAATAAATGTCTTTTGAGTGAATATATTTTGTATAAACCAAAATTATGAAAAATAGCAAGAAATACTTTAAGGGAAAACGAAGTCAGCAAAAATTATGCATAAATATGGTGAGACCATTGGGAAGTCTACCTTCTAGTCATCTGTGAAGTAATTGGGAATATTGCCACTTACGGGCAGGAAGTAGAAACTTCAATTGAGATATCTGGTGGCAGCATAGTGAGCAACAGAGAGCAGTTAGCAATGCTAGGGATTTATTCTAAGAATATCCATGGGCCTCCAGGACTGCCTATGAGTTTATTCTATAAAGGCTCAAGCTGTTCCATAGGTTTCACAGTGACTATAAATATAAGTGATTATTGTCTGTGTCTAGGATACAGCTTTATGACCCAAAGGGAACAAAAAACATGAAGGCACCGTAGAAGGAAAAACTAACCCAGATCCTGAAGGCATCTCCAAAGTCACTTAAGTCAAAACCTGAACAGAAACTCCCCAGAGAAAAACCTATGAAGCTGAGAAAAAGCAATGTGGCAAAAAACTATCCAAAGAAATGACCATGAGCTAGGAGTGTTTTTGTTTTTATGGATTATTATTTGTATTCACACAAAATACAAAAAGTTTTGAAGAACTTCATAAAGGCTGTCTTCCTGGGTGCCCTCCCATTCTTCTGTAGACATAACCAACACTGCAAGAAGATCTTCCTCTTTTAAAAGGCTTCCAAAGTTGATTGTTTCCTGATGCTCTTGGCAATACCCTCTAATGCAACCAAAGCAAGCTGAAGGCAATCTAGCAGCTTTTCCTGATAAGTTCAGCTACTATGTCTCACCTCCTTCTAAAACTCCATAACAAGAAAGTCTATTTTTATGGCACATAATTAAACCAATTTAATGATTTTATATTGGCGAGCACAATTGTTTTTATGATAACTAATGGCTTCAATGTGGAGCCACTGTACTTTGAAAGATTTTAAGTTCTGTGCTATCCCAAACAACACAGTACTAGCCAAAAGGAAATGGAATGGGTACACTTAAATTAATGAGAAACAACCTTCATATAATTCTTCCTATATTTAATAAGTAATCTTCTAGGAAGATGCTCTGACCCTGTCCACGTGGTCAGGAGAAAACGTGCACCTCCTCTTGGAATTGATATTAGAAGTCACTTCACAGCCTCCTCACCTCTCATCCAATCCCTTTAACTTCCCTACATGTTAAATTATTTCCAATTAAAATCCCTAAGCAAAGTGATTCTTCTCCAACCGCTTCATGTCTCTCCTTAATTAAGAAGACCAGACTCAAGACTAAACTCGGGAAAAGCAGGTTCACAGGTCCTCATCCAGATTCAATTAGCTTAGGAGCACAAGTAGCACAAGGCCAGTTCATGGTACCCAGTGACACTAAGCTTGAGGTAGTTTGTCCCTTACTGCTTCTGCAGATCAAATGCCAACAAAGGTTATTCTAATTTCCTAGGAAACAAACACTCCTCTTTACTCAAAAGTTTGAATCACTTGAGAACAACTGAGCATACTTTCAACAAGTCACTCTTAAAAGTCTCTTGAAAAAGGAATTATTGTCAGCTGATAGAATTCCTTTTATTGTTAGCTCTTAATCGGAACAGTAATAACCGGCTCTGAGTAGAACCTCCCAGTATAGCAGTTAGATGAATTTCAATAGCTTGTATTATTAGACCATTTAAAATTTTTCGCCTATATGGATATAAGACATAAGATGTCGGTTTAAAAAGGGTCCATTTTTAAAAGATTGTCTTTTTAGTGCTATACACTTCATTTTACATTTTCAGATCAAATTGAAATAGGTAGCCAAGTTGTCATCTTTACCAGCATTTTGATGAGGTCAACAAGGTACCCTGTCCATGTATGGACATCAGAGCTGTGGGCAGGGGGAGGCCTTTTGTGTGGTTTATTAAGATGTACACATGAGGTTCTGTACCTTTTCCAAACTAAGGGGATAAAAGACAGATTCTATTTTACCTCTGCTGAAGTCTATTTAAGACTCAATTTTTTCCATAAACTAGGCTTATCTTCAGATAACATCTTCTTTTTTTTTTTTTTAATTTTTTATTGTTGGTTGAACATCTACTTTCTTTGCAAATCCAGCCCGGCTTCCTGAGCCCTCTTCTGAGTATCTGAAAATTGTTTTGAGTTTTTTTCTGTTGTTAAAATTACTTCTCTTAGAAAAAGAAATAAATATTAAAAGTTTTTTTTTTTTTTTTCTATTTCAAGCATGATTCTGAGGAGGAAAAGCTGAATACTAACTATGTGCCAGGCTCTTTGCTAGGCACAACTGTGATTTCATTGTTCTCTCTTGTAAAAACCTTATGAGGTAGGTGTTATTTCCATTTTCCAGTTAAAGACACTGGGCCATGGGCAAGTTGATTAATTTTCTTAAGGCCACACAGTTAGCTGAGTTTCATTTCAGCCCTGGCTAAGACATACAGTCTATGCTAACTTTACAACATTAGACCAGTTTCATTTCCCCTATCTTTAAGTATTTTACATAATTCCACAAATTGTAGGAAAATGACTGCTTGTTAATCTTGAGTGTCTTTTGGTTTATTCATTTATTCTTCCTGAATATATGCTGGTGGAAGCTAAGTGTACCCAGATTATTAATTTCTTCAATTCTCCCATACCCATGTTGTGTGAACTTTTTTGTTGTTTCTGTTCATAGTTTTGCTTAAACAAATGATTCATTTTTCAAATTAAAATGCTCTTTACATTTCAGGATTATCCAGCATTTGCTTTTTGCTTTTGTCTTGGCTCAATCAGAATGGATTTTTTTTTTTAAAACAACAGTTTCATTTAAAGTAAGGAGAGATTACCACATGTGTTTTCTGCTCCTATTTCTTTATAAAAAAAAAAAAGAATTTGCCTCCATTTGGTTTCATGTCACAAATAATTCTTCTCTACTTATTTTTTGGATCTTGCCATCCTGAGTCCTCTGTGCTGCAAAAGGATATCTAGGTTTGGGGGAATTCACAGTTTGATGTCCACACTGAACCATCAATTCTGTCTATTTAGTGGCTAGCAGAGAGAAGCACTTTCACTTAACCTGATGGTAGTTTTCTACTTAAATGATGCTTTACTTGGTAGGAAAAGTGTTTTGGTTTTCCAGTAAGATCATATAGTGTAGCCTCAATATAAAGCACAGTGACTGACCAAGAGGTAACAATAATTTGTAAAATATCGTGAGGTCTACACACTGTCAAAAAAATATGTTTCAGACTTCCTGTAGCACCTAGCACTATGGAGAAGGTGAACATTTGAGATCAATCACTTAACTGTCAAGGAAGGGAGTTGGAGTTAACAGTGTCTAAAGCGAAGGACAACGCAACGCCATACTCATTTCCCCTTGCAAACATGGTGGGGATTCTTTCTCAGGCCTTGTGCAGGTGGAATGCTTAGGATAATACACCCAAAGGCATTACAAATTCTTCTTATTTTAGGGAAGGCAAGACCTCCCTGACAGTTATGCAGCATCAGCAAAAACAGGGTCCAAAACAACTGTGCATCACACAGGGAGCCAGTGAAGGCGAGGGAACTGCGAGCAGGTGTTCGGCTGCCTGGTGAATGGTCCATTTAAAAATTCAACAATAGTCAGAGGGGAGCAGAGAGTACAACAGCCACCACCATGACTGGTGAGACCAACATTTCCCAATTCAGTGTAAACTCTTGCCTTGAAAGAAGGCACGTTACAAAGCAGATTTTTATAAACCCAGTACATCATTTGTTCTCAACAATATTATTCATAAAGTGTGCTCTTCAGGAAAAAAATCTCTGAAAGAACCACTCATGCAACAAAAACCAGGGCTGCTTCCATGTCAAATCTCCCCACAAGATATTAATCATTAGCTAGATGAAATAGGCAAAAGCAGCTTTCTCACTGCAGAACCAACTAATTATGTTTCATAAGTCTTTTGAAAAGCAAATGTAGATGTAAAAGCTCAAGTGAAAAACATGTTAGATGCATTTGTGTCTAGACTTTGCCAAGAAAATAAGGGAGTTTAAGTGCCCAAAATCAAAAGATCTTACTAAACTAGAATTTCAAATCAAGGTTTAAAAAAAAAATCAGCCTCCTATTTTAATGCATCTTGTCTTTAGAATTTTATGTTTATACAATCAGCTGAGGGTGAACGTTGCTGTATTTTCAAGATGTACATGCATCCTATATGGTGAATAGCACCAACACAGAAAAGTTATAAAAATAAAAAATGCTTTTCAGGCATCCTTTCCCTTAAATCGCTGCACATTCCTATAAACTGCATCATATGAACACTATTGGAAAGCAGATCAAGCACACAAGGATATCTTTACTACACCAAACGAAAACCTTTAACACAGGGTGGGTCAAGGGAGCAGAAAATGAAGTCCAGGTGATTATTAGGCACCACAAAGCAGGGGATGCAGGCAACATGTACAGCAAGAAAATATGAGGGGGACAAACCCAAGGCTGTGTGTACAATATATACAGATTTTTTTCACATGTAAATTTTAAAGTGAATGCTGCTATTATACGACTGCATGAAGGAAAGCATAACGAGGCTGCTCTACTTCCCTTTAAACACAAGGCATAAAGAGAGTAAGGGAAGTGAAAAGCCAGTTCTTTGTGCCACGACTTAATCAATCGCACTCAGTTCTACTCAATGACAGAGCCACACTCAGCAGTTAATGGATATAATGCTGGAAAAGCACTTTGAGGTCTTCCAAAGAAAGGTAGGGTAAAAACCCAAAGGAGCATGGTTTCATTACGTAGCCCATAACGGAGCAGCATATGTATGAAATAAGAGACTTAATCTGCAAATTCTCATTCTTCCATAGGAAACCATTTCTCTCCAACACTGAACCCTGAAATCATAGTAGAGTTCTCCTCTGCCCTAGTCTGGTCTTGTCAGGATAACCATTACACACTGCAAGGAATAAATATGTTCTTCAAGTGTTACAGCCTACGCTTACAATCTGTCAAAATGCAGAGCGGAGGAGGAGTTGTGTGTTTTTGACTGTATACATCCATCACTAGCTATCACTGTTCCCACAGACAGGAAAAAGTCAACAATGAAACATAAAAGCTAAAAATAAGTGACTGAGCAAGTGCTCAGAAAAGCTTCACATTGGGCACTGGGTTAAATGTACATTCCTCCTCTTTTTGTATTACTGCCAGTTGAAAGTAATTGAAATTAAGAGCTCAGAGGTAGGGATAAAGAAAATAAACCATGCACTGCATAAATATGTAAAAGTTAGAAGAAAAATTTCATGCTCATAACCACACAAAATGAGTGTTCTAAATAACACATGCCCAGAATGCAAGTAATGACTAATATATGTTGCTGCAAATACCATGAAAAAATGACATTTATAGGCACTTCAAATGCTCAAAAAAAACTTAGTGTCATTTCATCTAAGCTGAAAATATTTCTTCATTCAGGTGTTTACATGTTCATTTCCAAGAGCCAATCAAATCAACATTTATTGAAGACTCACTGTGTACAATTTACCACAGTCTAAAGATGGAAAATGAGCATGGTTTACATGCAAGAGTACATTCAAAATGCATATCTGAGTATATATGATTGACAACAGAAAAATATAATTCAAAAGAACAGCAGATTCAGAAAAATTTGTAACTCCATGACTTCAATAGGTTTCTTTCTTTTTTTTTTTTCTTCTCATTCTTAGGAATTTGTTAGGTGAGAAAGGCAGCATAAAAACCTTGAAAATTACAAGTTTGAAATCTTACACGTTCTAAACTACTCTTACCAACAATAAGTTTTTAAACTCTTTTCTAGTTTCAAAAATGATTCATGTAAATCAAGTCTGATAGAAACCATTATATGTAAGTGAGATGAACGAAGTATTTAATTAATACAAATTTATTTTGTAAGTAGAAGTTTATAATATTTACTTTTAAGGTAAATGGGGTTTTTTTGACAAAGGGAAAAACATGAAATAAAGGATTATGAATTACAGTTATATTTTCTTATGAGCCTCAGCATCTGATTCATTTCTGCATTTTGGAATTTTTTGCACTGAGAAAAATCTGATCATACACCTAAGTGATCGCAAATAGTAACATTTAACAGCTCCTTTGCAATCTCGGGTTACTCTCCAAGTGAACAGAGACATTAGGGGAAGCTTCATCCCACAGTGTGAACCAAAACTCAATAACGTATTAGCACAAATTAACACATCATCAGTGGTCTCAACTATGGTAACATTTTCTATGTCGTACACTTGGCTGTGTGTGTGGTTTTCTATTACAATATTTAAATTCAAATAAAACCTTCAAGAAACCCAAAACTCAGAATGTCCTAGGGTTAGTAAATCTCTCTTTGAAAGCCTGAAAAGCTTGCTAGGACACAGGACACACTAGACTTTGTGTCAGTAGCCAGCCACGCAGGTAACCAAAGCAGACATAGCCCACAAATGCCAGCTGGCACACCTAGGATTCCAGCAAAGTGTGCCATCTGCAGATCTGCTGGCCTTTAGTATCCTTCATTTCCTCCCAATGATCTTGCTCCTCCTCTCCACTGCTGTTCTGGCCCATAGCAATCCAGCCAATCATCTCTTTACGTTTCATAGTACGCCTGTTATAAATGGAAATCATCAATGTGACATCAGAGAGCTGAAAGAGCGCCACCTGGAAAACAAACGTCTCCTTATAAACAGGATTGGGCTGACCACGGCGAATGGATGTCTTGCATCGGGACATCTCTTGGCCCACAGAATTGAGTAGAAAGAGTTTTCCATATGTATCTATGGGAAACAAAACAAAACAAAACAAAAGTAGGATTGGGAAACAAGAGAACACCAGTGTTTTCTGTTTTTCTAGTTTAATATTTACATGGCCTGCAAATTTTTCCTTTCAATATACTGATCCGTACTCTTGGGCCCAGTCCTTGCTTTGGGAGTAACACAGCTCACATAAATTATTAGGGACAGGGATTACTACATTGAATGCCTGATGTTTCGTGCCACTCCCTTCCAGCACATTGTTCCTGTTCATTAGAACCTCTACTTGCACAGGGTGTGTACATAGGTGCACAGGTAATGTATGTGTAATGGTGTTGGTGGACCAGTTCTTCACATATATACATATATTTTTTATCTATGTATTTTTTCATCATCAAAATACTGCTTTGTGACTGAGTTAAAGAGTCATTTCTCTTCTCACTGTCTGTTGTCTGCATATCCTTTGGACCACCTCATTTACTCCAACCCTCCTGCTCTCTTCCTTCCCCTTTCCCTTTGGTGCACACTCTCCACACCCTCATATCCCAACTGATACCCACCTTTCCACAAGTGCTATGAATTAAGTTCCATTTGGATATCACTTTATTCCAGAAATCTTTGCTGACTTCTTTCTCCCACTAGACCTGGTTCAGATAACCCTTCTGAGGCCTCCACCAAAACCTAGCCTATCGCCTGTATCATCACTGATCACTTATTTGTCTGCAAAGACTGTCAATTACCCAATGGTAGAGAGGAACTGCCTGTTCCCATCATGCCCCTGAAGCCTGGCCCAGTGCCTAACATGTGCTCAACCTTCGACAAATATTTTGTGATGCATGTTCACGATTAGCCAGAAATATCGACTTTCTTTCTTCTTTTAGTCTCAAGTTTTCAAACTTATGAAACAAAGTCAAAACCTCTCCTTTTATAACCCCTGCACTGGGATGCTATAAAATAGTGACAAGAATCATATTTTTAGTTGCTTATAGAAAGGAAAGAAAACATCCAAATTTTACCAACATACATAGTCTACTTTTGCCAAAACTCCTAAATGGAAATTATCTCAATTATATTTTATTAAATCACTGAATTTATCATTTTTTTAAAAAAACTTTTCCCTTAACTACAGTTTTTACTAACTCAGATGCATATCGTACTTTAAATACTTCAAAAGGTTAGGGTGTTTTCCCAAATTCCATCATTCTGTACATTCTTTGCATGTAGGCAGCTAGCTGATTAGTGTTTACGGCTCACTTCCCCACCTAACGACCAGTCAAACTTTTTAAAGTGTAAACCCAGATCTCTGTAATTTACTGTTCTCCCCAAGAGCACTATAAAGTAGGAAACAAATTACAACCTGCAGTTTTCTTTGTATGTTGATCTTTTTCTATTCCGGTTTGATGTGTTATTTTATGCACTTATCTGCTGAGAAACACAAGGTGTGAAATTACACTTCAGGTGTGAAAACACTTCTCTGTCTCAGAAACAGGGCTCTCCACTCTTCAAACTGTTCTACAGAAAGAGCTGTCACAAAACCGACAATGGGGGAGTGAATTAGCATTTCCCTGGCTGTACAGCTACAGGATTCCTAGGAAAAGCCAATCCAGTCACCAACCAACGCTCTGGCAATTCTTCTGCCAGTCACAGCATCAAGAATTGAGTGGATTTTGCAAACAAAGACATGCTCATTTTATAAAGAGCAATTTCAAGCTGTATGCCCTCACAAGAACATTTTCTAATTAAAAGAAAGGCTGCTCACTATTGAACTGCCATTGCTGAAACTGGGTGATACACACATGACAATGAAAGAAAATAATTTTATAATCAATCCAGCCTGAGGATACATGACCCAAGGATTGTTCTAGTTCAAAAAGGGAAGCTTTCATCAACCTGTGCGGACCTTTTAAGGCCAGAACAGAGGCCAGGCTGAGGAAATGCTTGTGTGGAAAAGTAGGGGGAGCATGATGGGAGTCTCTTGGGGTTCAGTGACTTACTCTGATGAACATCAGTAAGAATGGATAGAGAAGGAATCCAGTTAAATAAATATCCAGTTTAAATGACCTCTGTTTTAATTCTTTGGAAACTGATAATAGTTGCTACAAAATAACACTGAACAATATTTTATTTTCTGATGATGATTCAGAAAGCTTTGTAGTATCTTTAGTAACTTCGAGCCATTATCAAAGGCTGAATGGGTCCTAATCCCTTGATAATTCTGACAGCTACTTTATTGGTCAATTGTCTTGAGCTAAAAGAAGATGCCAATGTGCTGAAACCATATATAATCATATAATCTCCAATTTATCCTGACATAAAAGTGATCATTTGGAACTCAAAAGACAGTTGTCCCAAGGGTCAACATGGTATTCAGAGGTGATTAATAGAGCCCACACAAAATGTCTGTCCATTCACAGCATAGTATTCTCTAAATTGTACTAGAGACTAAATCTTCAGAGAAGGGTTGGCAGGGAGCATGATTCACAGGGATGCAGGGCAAGGGAAAGAAATTTTGTCATTTCACTTTCCCTTCTCTTTTCATTTATTAATACTTGTAAAAATTTTTAAGATAGATAATAGAAAACAGCATCCACACAGCATCTTGTGATAGCCAGAGTTTTTCATATTTGCTATAGATATTTTCTTGTTTTTGTTTGATTTTTAAAAAGTATTAAAATTGAAAAGTCCTTGAGTAACCTTCCTTGGTCACATTCAACTTCTCTTAGATTTGGAGTTAATTATTTCCACGCATGTTTTTAAACCAGTACAAATTTTGCAGATGTAAATAAAAATATCCAAAATATATTTAATAATGTTTTATACATTAAAAGTATTTAACATTATAGTGTATATCTTCCTGAAATTTGATTTTTTTGTTCAGGATTAATTTTTATTATCCCAATGAATATATACCTGTGATTCATGTATTTTATCTGCTGTATATATTGTTCCAATATATTATTAAGACACAGTTTGCTTTCCATTCTCTTAATTAAGGACATTCACTTATAACAGCCAACAATTGAGATTTGGGCATGGTGGAGCCTGCCTGTAATACCAGCAGCTCAGGGAGCTAGTCAGAAGAATTGCTAGTTGAAAGATAGCCTCATCAACTTAGCAAGATCCTAAGCAACTTAATAAGAGCCTGTCTCAAAATAAAAAAGGCTGGGGATATAGCTCAGTGGCTAAGTGACCTGGGTTCAATCCCAAGTACCAAAAAAACATTCATTTTTGGAAGATTTCAGTAAACATTTTTCTCTATTTTGTATTGAACCAATATTCACTGATATTCAAGAATTTCTCCAGGGTGTACATGAGAGTGAGTTACTGCATTCTTTACAAATTCTAGATGCAAAATCTATACCAGTATATCCATTACTATTATTTTCTCCCTCTCTATGGCTTATCTTTTTGCTTAGTTTATGGTTACTTTTGTAGAACAAATGTTTTAGATTTTTATGGAATCAGGTTTATACCTTTTTTTCAGTTGATGTTTTTATTACAGTTTTTTTAAAAAACTATCTGAAATTCAATAGTCTCCCATATTTTCTTCTGAGTTCTAAGAATTTGTTTTTCATTAGAATTGACCTTTGCATGTGATGTGAGTTAAAGATTTAATTATTTTTTCCATATGGCAAACATTATTGATTAAACAATCCATTATCTCCTGGGTGATCTGTAATTACATATCTGTCAGATATCAAGAATACAGGCTTGAGTGTCTTTCTTAAGCCTGATAATACTCGTCTTTCTTAAGCCTGATAATACTCATTATCATCATTTTATATTATGTCTTGATATCTACTGTGGATAATAACTTTTACCATATTTTAAAAACTATCTTAGTTATTTTAAACTCTTGCTTGGTTTAATTGGTTCTTGTATATGAATTTTTAAATTAGCTTTCAAGTTCTGTACTAAACAAACAAAAGAAATAAACCAAAAAAAATCACTGTTGGAATTTTGATTGGGATTGTACTGGACTGATGGATTAATTTGGAAAAAGCTGTTGTTTTCACAATACAGAAGACTCTCATCAATGAACATGGTATATCTCTCTATTTAGTTTCTTTTGCATTTCCCAAGGGTTTTGTCATTTATTTCCTACAATTGCCTTACTTACCTTTGTTTAATGTTATTTTTGGTATCCTGGAAATTTTGTTGCTTTTGTAATAAAAACTCTACTTTCTAATTGCTGATGTATTAGACCACAAGTGATTTTGTATAAAAAAATTATTTAAATTTGTGGATTTTCCTATGCTTTAAGTGTAGACAATCAGATTTTCACCAAATAAAGGAAGTTTTAATTTTATTTGTTCTTATTCTACTGAACTACCTAGAATGTCTACTATCAAATAAGTTTCCTTCTATGCCACATTAGTTGACATTCAATACCACTTTCACCTATCTAATATCTTTCCTATACTCAAGGGACATAAATCCGTAAAACTATATTCCCCTAAATCTTTTGCCTGTAAGCTTCCAGTTAGATTCCACTAATGAAAGCTATTTGTATGATACAGGAAGTGGGAAAAAAGGGAAGCCAAAACTCCCTAGAACAAGCTGCATTGTGCATTGGCATTAGTGGATGACAATGGAGGAACTCTGTCCATGACATTTAGAAATCCTCACGAGACTTACCTCTTCTGTGTACACACAGCTCAGAGTATAAGGACATCTTTCCCATGATGTCTGCTTTAATTTCCTGAAAATTGTCTTCCACATTTTTATTCTCCAGCTTTCCAATAGTTAAACAACTCCCAGCATAATATACCAAGATTATTTTCTATTTTACTAACAAAATCTTACTGATGTAATAACTGGTAATCTCAGCTGGAATGTTGCCATCATAAAATAATAACAACAATGATAATAATAATAATAATAATAATGAGGAGGAGGAGGAGGAGGAGGAGGAGGAGATGATTTGGCCAAGAAGTAAGAATGAGAATTGTCTTTTGTCTTAGAAGTTATGTTTCAGGTAATCAAGAAACCAGTATTAGGGCTGGGACTGAGACTTAGCAGTA